CCCGCCCTCTCCCTCTCCCTCCCGCGGCAGCTCATTACCGCGACGGGCGTAAAAGCCACCCCTCGGCAGCGCCCCCGGGAAGGGCGGAAGGGGGGGGATGTTGAGGAAAGGAAAGAGTGAGTTGGAGGAAAGGGAATTACCGAGGCTTCATCGGCCATACGTTGACATGAAAGCTTCGAATGGAGGAAAATATGAAAAGTTTTATACTGTTGTCAAAGTCACTCTATTACGTCGTGGCAGTTTTGCTTGGCTTGCCAAAGTTTTGGCATTCTTTTAGAGACTGCCAATTTTTGGCTTCTTTTAATGACGAAGTGTGGTACTTTAAAACGTCAAAAAGAGTCCAAAAATTGACAATCTTAAAAAAGAATGCAAAAAATTGGCGGTCGAAAAGGACTGCCAAAGTTTTTCCAAGCAAAGGGCCACGACGTCAGTGACGGGTCAACCCGGGTGCACCAGAGAATAAAGTTTTGTAAAATCTCGTGTTCCCGTGATGTGCTGACCGTGTTCCGGACCACGGGCGTTTCCTCTCGCCGGCCTGGGACGTGGGAGCCGGCGGCGCCCCCGTGTGGGTCCTGCGCTGCGGTCAGGCGGACGTCCTGCCGGACTGTAGCGGGCGGACGCGCCGTCAGTGGTGTGGTGACCCTGAACTGGAGGCGCTCGTCACAACCTTGCATGCGCTTTGCACCCCGAAAGGGCGCGGACCTCACCTCCGCTATGGCGCGGTACTTACAGTGCCGCAGAGCCGCGCCCGTGTGCCGTGCCGTGCCGTGCGCGCCGTGCCCCGCGCCCCTGTGGTCGCGCAGCCCTGCATACCCTCGGCTGGAATAACGCCCCGACGGCTGGAACGCGACCTGACCCGCAGCCTGCGGCCTACACGGCCTGGCCTACGCCACCCACGACGGCCCCGTCACCCCTCCCCGCCCTTACCCCTGCCCCGCGCACTTTCGCGCATGCCCACTGGACGTATCGATAATCGAAGCGCCCCCATATGCACGCGAATAAAAGCTTTACTACCTTGAATTTCACCAAACGTAAGTTGCAGTAAAACTCTTGCAGTGCCGTAAGTTCCGGCTCAGTTACAGTCACCATGCACAGTAACGGTATGCCCCAAGGAGGGTTGCCCACATACAGGGGGTTTTGAAGCTCAAACTGCCTCTCTTTCAGGCGGATCACTAGAGAAAACGACAGCAGGAGGGGGGGGGGGCGATTTCCCTATCCCGTTTTTACTGTGCCTGTGCAGATTTCACTGTAATTTACGCATAAATTCTAATTAGCTGCAAGCCTCTAGCAGTACAGTAGTGCTGAGTGCAGTGGTAACAAACACACACTCAACACTCAACATTTTCCTGTGATTGTTTGAATGCCCCGCCCTTTCTGTATAACTAGAGATATTGCGATGGCTTGCCGACCTGTTGGTCGGTTGCCATCTCGCAAGCGCAAGAATATAAAAGAGGCCATATGGCTAAATACGCTGGATGGCAAGCCAAATGCAAACCCACCTTCACACTTGCAAGCAAAACAGCCCCCCCCCCTTTTACAAGAAAATAAAATTGTAGTGAGGTCATACACGGGGTCATGAGACGTATGTTTGATTTGTTCAATGGCATCAATAAAAGTAAATTTGTGAACCCAACGACAGTTGTAACCAGCCCCAAAGTTTAGAAGACTTTAGAGGGGATACTTCCTAACAAGCTCCCTAACTAACTTCTACAGTAAAAATTTTGTTTGATAGTTCTAAAGCGGACCAAACTAACTAGTACCCTCTGTAAGTTGCCGAGCGTGCTTTATGGTCCCCTTTTGAAGTGGTACTGCATTGCACGGCGTGCAGGCGTGTGCGCGGATCTGCCCATAGTGTCACTAAGCATAGTCTCCAATAAGCGATACAGCAACTAGATAGATGTACCCTGGTGTTTTTGAACGGACATCACAGTGTTGCGGTAGCCACGGGGGCTATGGGGGCGTACGGAGTAGGCAAACCCGTAACACTGTTGTCAATTCTGAAACACCCGGTGCATCTATCTACCTAGGTCTGTGGAGCTGGTGGGGGTGGGGCCGCCCTTTGAGTCCCGCATATTTGAAACAAATATCTCTCAAAAAGCCAGTCCGCGCTTTTTCCCTCTGAATATTGTCAAGAGGACATATTTTAGCTAGAAAGCAGCCCGCTCCAAATGGACCATTGCTTTTTTAACCAACCCATTAGGGGCGTTTATGCGCGCTGCCTGGAGAGAGGGAGAGAAGGAGAGAGGGAGAGAAAGAGAGAGAGGGGGGAGGGGCGTCATGGTTCAACATGACCACCTGTTGCATTTGGGAGCATTTTTGTAACAGTAACAGCCTCACGATTAACTCCTTGCTCTCCGAGTACCCCACAATTTTATTTGTTTTATTCTTTTCTTAAGTACTCATTATTGACCGGGAGGCAATCGCCCTCAAAATAACGCAGAGGATAATTATAAAACCAGGAGTTCATGATGCACAGAAAGTACACGCCGAAATACACACGAACGTCCATTAACTGCGTTAACGAATACTTTATGTGCCTTTAAAATTCAGATAAGACCGCCGGAGTGATAGGCTTCGGTATCACTCAGCAAATTATAGAGAGACTACTCCTAACGTAAACGGACATGTCAAACAGCAACTGCCACATACTTGCCGCCCATTCAGCAATTTGCATGCCTCTTCCATTTTTAGGTCAGAGGAACAATTTCGAAACCATAAATTGTTACTGTCATCCAACAAATACAGTATTTGGATCTTTTCCTTAAACGCTCTAAAAATTCCCTGCACATTATGTTTTGAGTTCAAATAATGTTTCATCTGCTAAAAATTACATACACTGCAAATTTGAAAATTTGCTCGGTTAGAACTCTAGTTCTGTCATTTCTTATGGAGAATTTTTGATACATATCGTTGTCAGACCAAAATCGCTGCGCCATTTTGGTGGAGCTTGCTAACACCTTTCTTTAAAAACTTTTGAATGGTTTGAGATATAAACTCGAGACGTTTCTTCTAGTTTTGAGTCATTCTGAGAAAAGTTTTCACACCCGCATACACACCTCTCCCCAAACCAACCCACCCTCCTGCCCATAGAGACACCATTTTCACAGTTCCTTTTCCTCCCCTCAAATAACTCACCTCTTTGGATTGTTGCTGCAAGCGCCAACCCCCCCAGAGACTCGAGGGCGGTCCTACCCGCGCGAGGGGAGGGCGCCGTGCGAGCCCCGCCCCGCTGCGCTCGCGGCGCCGCGACCGACCGCTCGTGAAGGTCTCCGGGCGGCCGCCGACGCCGTTGGAGCTCCGTCACTCGCGTCGGGCGGCGTCGATGTGGGCCCGCCGGTGACGTTGGGGCGCCGATGAGGACGAAGAGGGTGGGAAGCGCGTCCTCTCCCGCGCGCCAGGGAAGTCCAGGTCGGGGCTCCCCCTGCACACCCAACCTCTGGGCGTTCCTCGCGTCGGCGTATCCAAAGGGCGAAGCACTGTGTTCACCACGACGGTGGCTTCAAGCACATCACTCACGTTCCCATCTTTCAGGTCCAAACGTATCACTTGATCTTGGCGGCCTCTCGTGCCTTGATCACGACTCGCGCGCGTCCCTCGGCCACGGCACGCCTGTGGGCGCGCCGGCAGCCCGAGCTCTGCTCTACGACGGGGTCCTGACTGGCCGTGCTCGCCAGTGCGGCCCGAGTGGCACCGGCCCGGCCCGCCCGGCACATCCACGCCAGCATGAGGCTTGGCTCCGCCTCGCCCGTACTGCCCATACCGCACGGCCGCTCACCCCCACC